CCATTCACAAAAACTGCAAGAAAAAAAGAAGCCATTGCTAAGCCATATATATGTCTATGCCAACATAATTTAGTACATAAAATGTAGTGAAAATTGTCATAAAAATTATGAAGAAACTAAAAGCAATAAAATTATATTATTTCCTAACGCAAGTTTGGTAGGAGATATAGTATTAAACGAAAGAAGGAAGCCAAAATTTTGTTGATTCTAATATTAGGTAGTATGGAGTAGTGGGCGTACTGCCCACAAGATAAGGTTGCTATTCTCGGTGTGTAAAATGCATTTACCTTTTGCTTCATCATCCTTAACAGCAACACAGAAATCCTGTAGGAGGGCAGGATCAGAAGCATGCGTAAATGAAACCAATGAGATAATAAGAACGGAAATTAGAAAGTGAACAGTCATTTTTAGTCCAGTCGATATTCTGCTTTTGTTGTAGTTTGTGGATGTTTATTTCGTGAGAGATGATTGCCAATTTATAGGGAACCTTTCTATTTGAATTAGTCATCAACTTGTCTTTTTCAAGCAAATATTCTTGCCAAATCTTCAAAACATAATTATTTATATATTTTCATTTCGTAGTTAAAGGTTGACCGTGATCAACTAACCACTCTGAAAATGCATAGTCTGTGGTTTGAATTAATCTCAAAGTGGTTAATCTGTCATTTCTCAGTAATCCTAGAAAAAAAAATTTACTGGGAAAATAAAATGGAAATGGGAAACTATAATTTACATAATACCGATTGCACTCTGCACAAACTGGGATATAGGACAGTGTATCTTATCTTATATGTTGATAGCATGCTTTTAATGATGGATTAAATTATGGAAGTCATTGAAAATTCCCTAGTCGGGTAATTTCTTGAAGAAATCGCTATTCTAATCTAACAATTTCAAGAAGAAATCATTATTTTTCAAATGTTAATGCTGTCTAATTTTCTTTCTTTTACTTAAAAATATATTTGATATGTGCGTTTTGTCCACGAGGCTCTGAAATTTAAAGTCAGGTGCTCACCTCAGTGAGGAGACTTGAACTGGTGACGATATTATTAAATTTTTATGTCGTCTAATTATTGATTTCTACTTAATTTGGGTTAATTTTCTTTTATTTGTAGGGACGGACTCGTTTGAAGCAATCGGAAAATGAAGAGGACAAATTGGCCTTTAAATTGAAATTTGGGGATCAAATTCCACACATTGAATATTGAAGGGACTGAAGATAAATAATACATTGATGGGCTGTTAAACATGAACTTTGAATGGGATTGAAATTCTGGGAGGAAGGAAGTTGAATGTAAATTAAATTGATAACGGAATGAGAAATAAAATCCTAAACAAAATTGGACTCTTTTTGGACTAAAAAAGTGGCTGCCTTTATTATATATAAACATACATACACGTAGAAACAGACGGAGAGCAGCCAACAACAGGAGAAGCCGGCGGCCCGAAAGAAACGAAAAAAGGAGGGCTGGAATATTGGATTTGGAAATCAAGTCAACAAAGGTGGCTGAAAATTTGAAGAGAATTGGTTGCTGCCATTGATATATACAAGGGCGGACCAAGACCATTTCTCTTGTGGGGTCAAAAATGAGAATTCAAAAATATTTAGAAATACATATCATTAACGAAAATAATTCAATACGCTATTACAATTGTAGAATACGCATTTTCATACTCTGAAAACGTCGTATAA